TTTCTTTTTACCTTTGGAAGTAGAATGCATTTTAGGAAGTGAAATGTTAACTTGAGTAAAGTCTTAAGCAGTACTATGAAACTTATCCAGCCAGGTCTTAGTCGGAAGAATACTTTTTAGAATTAAGTAAGTATAAGGATCAAAGACAGAGATGACTGCCAACTGACAGAATAGTTGCTGCTAAGGTTCATACTTTATTTCAGTCAGAGGACATGTTCCACTATTATGAAATACTAAAAAGTCTAGCTTAAAATTTAACTGGAACTCAATGTTCAGTTGTTATTAAATACTGAATTAAATAAAATCTTAGGAAAATTTGGAAAAGAGGGCTCACCTAGTTAGATAATAATATATGTCTATTACTCAAAATCTAGGCTGATATTTAAACAAGCCCTTGCAAATTCAGGCAGAAATTACTTAATTATAGGATGGGGATAGAAGGGTTGATATGAAGACAAATGACTGGATTTTGAATTAAATCAAGTTTCAAGATTAAAAAAGAGATGCTCACCTCAGAGAATGCTTAAAATTTTAGTTAAAAAAATAAAGTGGCCCTGGTTGGTGTGGTTCAGTTGGTTGGGCGTGTCCTGTGCACCGAGGGTTGCTGGTTCGATTCTGGTTCAGGGCACATTCAGGCTCAATCTCTAGTGGAGACAGCTGATTGATGTCTCACTACTCTCACGCTGATGTTTCTCTCTCTTTCTCTCCTTTTCTCGTTCTCTAAAAATTAATAAAAAATCTTTAAAAAATAAAGTGAAAAGAGTGCATGGATTGATTACTTAATCTATTTCTGTACCTTAGGAATCTTGGATACAGAAATATTTGCTGAGTAAAAAAGACAGCAAAGTTGGGGAATGGAACAAGCAGAGCAATCACCATTGTGATTTATGACTTTATCGATTTTATGCTATGAAATTTGAAAGAGAGGAGAGAATATACAGTTCAATGATTTTGTAGATTTTGCCTTAGGACTGAAGAATACTTTTCCTATAAGATTGGTGCTTATAATTTAATGTATTTTTCTTAGTGCTTTCATAGTAGAAATACCATAAGTTAGGAAAGTCAACCACAGTCTTCATGCTGAAGAGCAAAATAAAATAGACCTACTCAGTCACCATTGTCTGAGCGACTTGGGGATCTCTAGCTCTGACCTCATATAATTTGAGGTTAACATTTTGAAATGTATGAACCTTGAATTATTATGCAGGCCAAGATTTTAATGTTTACATTTAAATAAATCCAAATGCTGCAGGAAAAGTTTTTGGCACTATGTATGTTTACTGTAGAAGTGGGTGCCTTTAGTATATTAGAAGATAATTTTATTTAGGAAAATTAGATGCATCTTCCTTTGAGAGTATACTGCTCAGTGCCCCAGGATATAAAATATAGGCATGGAGTATATGAACAGCGTGAATTTAGCTACAAAATTTATGGGAACTGGTTGGGATACATTAAAAGCCTGCTATAATATAGTCATGAAGACCTGGATGACCATCTGGCACTCCAAGTGTTACCAAGGCTATAGGGGATGGCCTTGGAAGAAGAGGACCCCAGCACCTCCTAAAAGGCAGATCCTGTTGTGTTACTGCTATTATTGTGTTGCAAGCATTGAATGTGCATGTTACCAATATCTTCTATAAGTAATACAATGTGTTTAAAATGCAGGATATTTCAACCACAAACCTCATGTCTCTTCATTAAAAACAAGAGAAAGACTACTCTGTTGATTGGCATAAGGTAAAGTAAGCATTTTTGTGTAGAAGGTAAATGGGAAAAAAAGGAGTCTTTGGGCCAAAGAAGCAAACCTGATAGGTTTGGTTAGACTCTCACAGTACTGGTCCACTTTAAAAATTGAGTTAGTTGGCAACATTTAATATAATTAAAATGTATTTTTTAATTCAATTATGACAGTCTCATCCACTTAGGGTAACTTACCTGACTCCTGTAGCATTTGAATTGGTGACCCCAATTTTATGGAAAAAAAAACCTAATAATCCGTTGAAGAAAAAAATAGCAGAATTTTTGAAGATTATTTTTGCCTTGATACCCCTTGGATTATGCCTTGATACCAGTCTTTTTAAAAAATATGTTTTTATTGAATTCAGAGAGAAAGGGAGAGGGAGAGAGAGGTAGAAACATCAATGATGAGAATCACTGATTGGTTGCCTCTTGCACGCCCGCTACTGGGGATTGAGCCCACAACCAGGCATGTGCCCCTGACTGGAATTGAACCTGGGACCCTTCAGTCCAAAGGCCAGCACTCTATCCACTAAGCCAAACCAACTAAGACTGATTCCAGTATTCTTATCAGATATAAAAATTACTGTTAGGCAATCATTATTAGAGATTTAATTTAGGAATAATAAAAAATAAATGGTACACAGGCTGTGACCATTAACTATGAAGATTTATAGAATGTTTGAGATCACAGAGATAAGACTTGAATGGGACAAGATGACCCACATTGGTGTCAAATGTTACATTTCAAAAGCAAAATCCAATACCATTTTAAAAGTTGGGTTTCTAGAACTTTAGAAGAGATATGTGATAACACTGAAGAAAATGAACACATTTTGATTAGTAAGATTATCTAACACAGGTCAGTTGGTAGTAAAATACTTAGAAATTGTAAAGGCCCAAGACTTAGTACACATGCCTCCTCTCTCTTAAATATGTGGCAGAGAACGTTTAGAAACTAGGAGTGAGAAGAGGGAGGAATTGAGAGATCTTGTTACCAAAACCTGCAAGAAGGATTATCCATGGATGCATTTGGAGTATATATTCCTTAAGACCTGTCACTTGTCAAGAAATATGTGTGACATGTAACTACTAAAATTATGAATTCTACTGCCAGACAGACCTATTTCCAGCTAGATTTGCTTTTCTTGATCTCTTGAGCTGATCTGAATATAAACAGGTATTGAGGTGGGATGCCACATGCAGAGAATTTGTCAATAATGTGATACTTGAAAAACTGTACAAAAAAGAAGAGAAAAATGATAAAACTCAGGCTGGTGCCACTGGTTGGGGCCCAGATGACCAGGACATATGGGCCAGAACAAGAAGCATTATTATTGGCATGGAGGCTTCCTTTGAGCAACTGCCCTCACCCTGACAAGTTGTGTTGGATTACAAACAACAGGAGAGCCCCCAGCACTGTGAACTTAGTTCCTGAACCAGACTCCAAGTTGCATCATGTTCTTCTGAGCTCTAGACATGCTATTCTCTTTGACTGAAATGCCTGCCCACCCCCTTTCTCCCTTTTCTATTGACTGCTTCTTGTTTATCCTTGACATTTCAGCTTAAATATTTCTACCTCTGGGAGTCCACCTTGACCTCCCTAAGTTATGTGCCTTTTGTTTGTGTCCTCACAGTTCCCCCAGGACTTGAAAAGAACTGATCACACTGAATTGTACATCGCTCCAGAGCTCCATGAGGCCAAGTGCCAGGTGTGCCTTGCTCACATCTGTATTTCTAATGTGGAGTATTTCCTCAGAAGATATTGGTTGGATGGTTGAATGAACTGCATCCCAGCCTATCTGCTTCTTAGCTCATTGGGTGCTCTCAGCTGTGGGACTGTAGTGTTTGTAGGTAGGGCATAGAAGCTGGCCAACAATGGTCTTGATGCCTAACAGAATTTCAAGCGGAAATTTTTGGGACAAGTAAACCAGAGGTTTGGTATGTGGCCTGGAACTTCTCAAAGACTGGGCTGGAAAGAATGAGATGGGAAAGAAGGATATGTGTGTGGAGAGGAGGAAGGAAGCTTGGTAATATCTCTTCAGGCAAAGAAGGGGTGATAACATCTTGACCAGAAACTGAGAATTGGAGACCAAAGGTCAGAGAATCTAAAAGGATGAAAGAAGAATTTCTTAGAGGAACTAACTGTACAATAGAACCATGGAGCTACCAGAGCCCCTTGTTCTGAGCATGAAGTCTGAGAAGGTAAGCAGAATGAGTCGAGGTCAGTACATGTCTGTCAGTTGGATGCCATTCTCTCCTTGACCTTGGAAAGCTTCTTTCTCCTAACAAAGCCATGGCTGATCCTGGGTAAGGCAGGCAGAGGCTTATCTAAGGATTATAGTCAGCAGACATCAGGGAGGGCTACCGGCGAATAAAGAGGAGAAAGACATCAAGAACTGACACCAATGTTCGCATTGCTTTTCCAGCATGGAAGCTGATCAGAACACAGCTGGTTGTCAAAAAGTACAGTTTTCAACCGCTCCAGTTCTTAAGGAGCATTGGTCTTTCTGCACCAGGAAACAGTGCAGTTAAAAGCCTTTCAAAGTCATCCCATGGTCTTCAGCATAGAGTCAAATTCCTCAATATGGCTTACAAATTCCATTATATCAGTCTCATCTTTGACCATGAATAACCAGGCAATTACAATGAAGGAATGAGTGGCCCAACCTAGAATGGACTGGGTTCTCTGCAATCAGAAGAATCTAGAAAAGGAGACTAACTCTAGCCTCATTCTTCAAACAAAGAAGAACCTGGAAAAACAGAATGAACCCTCTCAAGGGGAAAGGTGACAAGAGCCTCCTTCCTCTATCTCCAGCATCTGCTTAGGCTCTTACAGCCTCTTTTGGGTCTGGGGACCCTGGGGTCTCATCCCTTCTTCTTTATTTTTAAGATCTTAAAATTGATTTTTAGAGAGAGAGGAAAGGAAAGAGATAAACATCAATCAGCTGCCTCTTGCACACCCCCCTATCAGGGATGGACCCCACAATCCCTGGCATGTGCCCTGACCAGAAATTGAACTGGCAACCTTTTGGTGCACAGGATGATGCCCAATCAACTGAGCCACACCAGCCAGGTCTCATCCCTTCTTAGTCTGAGCTGGGATGGCTAAGCTGTTTCTAGAATGGAGCAACTCTGGATCCCACTTGTCCCCTTACCCAAGGACGTTCTAGTAATAAACCATTGGTAGAACTGACTCCAGGAGTGGATCCATTATCCCCTACATGGGTGATACCCTGAGGTTTGTCAGGCAGGGAAGTTACCTCCTCGGCCCTCACTGGCAGCTGGCTTCACTTGGATTGGACGGTTCATCTGAAAGACATCGGACCAACATACCCAGTCAGCATGACTGCCTGGCCCTTGGGCCTCCCGGCTTCTCCATCCCTGACTCCTCAGGATCTAAGCTCTGGCACCTTTGAACTCTGCACTCCACCTGTCTCACCTGGGATTATAGATTTTCTCCAAGATTCCTCCCGTAAACCTGGGAATTTACAAGGTGCTTAAAACCAGAAGGGTTGGGTGTTAGGAAGCTCAGTGGCAAGTGCAGGACAGATTGTGGAGGCTAATGAGATTCTCTTGCCTTGGGCTCTGGGCAGGGACCATGTGAGGCCTATCCCTCTGGCTCCTGGACTTCCTTAAAGGCTTTGGATGGGAGGTAGAACTGATATTGCCGATTTGTGGCCTCAAATAGAATATAATTCTGTACCATTTAGTTTAAACAATCTGGAACCAGACAGACTTAATGCTGTCTATTCCCAACTCTGCCATTTAATGGTTGTATGATTTCCAGTAATATACTTTCTGATTCAAGTTGTTAAATGGGGGAGAACCTTTACCAAGCTTTTGTGTCACCATAGTTTCTATGCCTCAGTCCCCTCCTGGGTCCCCCTTCCCCTGAGGATGTTAGAGTTCTTCAGGGCATCATCTTCGGCCCTGCTCATTCTGTTCCTCTCATTCTTCCTGGATAATCTCATCCAACCACCTCTCTTCCGAGCTTCAGACCCACATGCCCAGCTGCTTGCTGGGCATCCACTAGAAAGTCTCACTGGCAACTTCCACTTGACACATCAAAACCAGAGTTCATCTTTTTGCTCAAATCTGATTCTTCCAGTCATCTAAGCTATATGCCCAAAAAACAGCTTGACTCCTTCCTCCACCCCCCACCCCCCCAACCAATTTCACCTTCTAATTCAGGGGTTCCCTGATCAGGGGTGGATAAAAATCACTTGGGAACCAAATCAGACTCTTAAGCTGGGGGATTTGTACAAGTTCTTAGGTGATGTAAATATACTCCATTCCACACATTCCCATCCCCCAATCACCCTGAGAGAATTCATGACTGAATCCCCACCTCACTTTCCTCTCATGGGTGTTGTGGATCACATGAAATAATGGGGACACAAAAAGTCTTTGTAAATGTCCAAGAGCTGGGTGCATAGGGTGTGAGGAATTATTGTTGGGACAGACAGCTGATTGCCAGGAGGAAAGAACAGTGGCCTTCCAAGTCATGGTGAAGGAGTACTGATGCCTTCTCTGGCCTGAGAAGGTAATGATCTGGCTCCCTCCTCTCAGGACATGCACTATTTTTGCACCAATCAAGAGCCACTCCATCCTCTACCAATGTACTTGTTGCCGAGACAACAGGCAGCTTCCTGTTACCATAGCCACAAGTGCTACCCGGTAACCATGGTAATGCCCTGGCAGTCGCAGCTGAGCAATTTCCTTTGATAAAATTTGAAGATGGAGAGTGAGGAAGGCTCTTTTTTTTTTTTTTTTTTTGGAAAGGAAAACAGGCCAAGCCTCAATCAGTGCTATTACCCTCTCACCCAAAGCTCATGTTTTTATCTGCTCTGACACGCCCATCACTGGTGGTGGAGCACCCGCAGTGTACCACTGTGAGTGGGGACCAAGACACCAGCAGGACTCAGGCTGCAGTCTAGAGAGGGTGACAGATCAATCCAAGCAGATCAGGATGAGCTGGACAGGTCCGGACTGGCCTGGACCAGGGACCAGGAGGACAGGACCCGTCCTTGGCATGGCCACTTGTGATTGTGGAGGAGAGACCAAGAGATAGAAGAGTGGAGACATGAAAAGAGATGAAGGGAAATGGGAAGGCAGAAATCATGAGAAAGAGTAAGAGACAGACTTAGAAAGGGGCAAGGAAAGAGAGAAATACTGATGGAGATGAGAAGGAAATAAGGGGACAAGGGGTCAGGAAGGAAAGGCAGGGAGGAGCGTGGTAGGGGGAAAGGGAAGAGGAGAGAAGCTTAAATAAATATTGAGCATTTCTGTCTGGAGCATAGAGAAATGAGCACATGTGACAGCAGCGGTTTCCACAGCAGCTGCCTCCCCAGGCTAGATTTCTGGGGACATAGAGCTCATCGGTGTTCTGGGGGATGCCCCTGCCCTCCTCTCCAACTTCCCCACTCTTTGATGGAGAGTGGCATTAGGTGGTATGTACATGTCCTACAAGGACCAGGAGTGACAAGCTGGGCAGCTAGGCTTTCCACCACTTGGGCATGCTACTAGCATTTCCTGAACTCTGTGAAGATCCCCAGGCTGGGGCCTTTAGGGGAGACAGTGATGACCACAGGAACCCTATCCTCAAAGTCTCACAGAAGGGAACATAATGCCACCATTTGCTGAGAGCCTAGTGTGCGCCAGGCCCTTCCTGGGGCATTTTACATACATTGTCTCTAAATTTCTTTCAACCACTATGCAAGGTAATACCATTGTCTCCATACTATAGACGAGAAAGCTGAAGGTGGGGAGGATAATCACATGTCTAAGGTCACATGGTGGGTAAGTAGTTGAGCTAAAATTTGCCCCCAGTTCTGTCTGACACTGAAGTCATTGATTTTTGCATTGAGCTGCTGGACTCTGTTTTTCAGACATGAACACAAGAAAAGGGGCACAGAGGGACTGGAGCCTTAGGAGGAGTGCAAGGTAATGTGCTCTGGGAGAAGCTGACTCCAGGTGGAGAGGTTGACTCAGGGAAAACTTCATGGAGGAGGCAGAGTTGACCTGGGGGGTCATTTGCAGGACTGGAGTCATTGGGTCATGTGGAGATAATGGGAGAGGTAGGGCGGCAAGCTGAGCACTCCAGATGCCTTGGGCATGGAGAGGGAGCTGCCAGCCTGAATAAGGAGCAAGGGTTCTGGTGGGCATGGAGGTAGTCCGCAGAGAACGAATTACTTTAGAGTCAGATAGACGTAGATTTAAATCCTAGCTCAACCATTGTCAACTAAGTTCTCTGAGCCACATTAGTAAAAAGGAAAATCATGACCCTACTTTGCAGGGTTGTGGTAAAAATGACAATGGCTACGTCTTAGTAGGTGCATCAAATGTAATATGGGCTTCTTCTTCTTCTTCTTTTCTTTTCTTTTTTTAGTGGGAGGGTATGAAACAAAGGTAGGCAGGGGCCACAACAGGACAGGTTTTGAAAACCATGACAAGGAATTTTGACTTTGTTGTATTTAAAAGGCAATAAAGATCCAGGAAAGGATTTTAACTAGGGGAATAATCTTATGAAAGATCCCATGAGCTGTCACCATGCAGAGAAAAGATTTGAAAGGGAAGATTAGAGGTAGAAAAACCAGTGTGATACAGGTAAGGGGGGAGGGTAACCTAGAGCAGGGCAGAAAGAAATGGACAGATTCCAGAGATGTTTCAGGAGAATTAACTGGACTAAAGTTCTAGCAGATGTGGGGATTGAGGGAAAGGAGAAAATGTTGGCTGACTTTCAGTTTATAGCTTAGGTTTTGGGGAAGTTGGAAGTTTGGAGGTGCAGGGGAAGTCTGCAGGAGAGTAGCACAAGAGGATGAGGACAAAATTGAGCTCTGGGCCTTTGGTTTCCACTGTGAAGTGGTTAGGGAGGACACCCACAATTTAGGTGTAGTCTGTGTGGCTGAAGGAGAAAAAAGGTTGCCCACATGAACTGCCCGGGCAACCCTGCCCTGCCTTATTCCTGCCACAACCAGGGGACAGACTTGGGAGTGGGATGAGATAATTGTGGTTCCCCTTTGGAGAAAGGGAGGCTTTGCTTCCTTGGCCAAGAACTTCTCATGGGAACTCAAGTGAGCTCTTGAGCTTGGCTGAGCACCTATTCCCTTGATAGTTTCTTAGGTAGAGTCCAGGCTCATGTCTTCTTCAGAACCAGCCTTGGATGGGAAATCAAGAGAGAGAACATCAGAAAGAGAAGAGAACAACCTACTCCAGGCAGTGAAGTGGGGAAGGTTGGAGGCAGTACAGATAGCCATGATACCCTGGTCCTTTTGCCCCCATCAACAGAGAGAAGGCAACACTTTACCCCTTCTCCTTGACTTGCCTAAAATTCCTGCCTTTAGACTCAGCACTGCTCTCTTCAGACTCTTCTGTTCTGATGCCAAATCCTCCCTCCACTCAGCACTCATGCCCTCAGTCCCTTTCCCTACCATGGAAAGAGTGTTTATCAGAACTTTCCTGAAGAAGGGACCATTGGTGATTCTAAGAGAGGTGTCATGGGTGCAGGGAAGGGTAACGCAGAGAAAAAGCAAACATCACTATTTTCAGCATGTTGTTCTACTTTATCCCCCTTCTCTAATTCAATTTACTACCAAATCTCATTGGTTCTAGAATCTATATAGAGATCCTCAAATTCCTCCTCTTCTCCCATTCCTGCCCTATCCCCAGCTCCAGGTTAGTGTCATCATTCATTTGCACTCAAGCAACAGTGTTCTAAAGGGTCATTCTGCCTCCAATGTTGCTTCCTTTCCAAACCAACCTTCACACTGTAGCCTGAGTGATCTTTTAATACCAGTCCCTCACTCTCCCATGCTTAAAATCTTCCAACAGTTCTCCATTGCAAACCTCCCAGTAAAGCCTGAGATCCCAATCCCAAGACCGGCAGTCAAAATGTGTGAGTCCTGCCTGCCCTGCTGCACAAGATACACAATACTCTCTATTCACATGGAGCCTTAACCATCTTTGCTGGACACCTTCCCTACCAGTTCTCACACTGATCCCAGAATTCCAGAAGTGGCCTTTGTCTTTAGGTTTCTAGATACTCAAATATGATTATACTAGAGGCCCAGGGCACAAATTCGTGCATGGTTGGGGTCTGGCTGGCCCACCCTGATCTGGCCTATCAGGCCAGGCTGGCCAGAGAGAGGAGCCACTGGTGGTTGGCAGGCTGGCACCGCCCCCTGGTCGAACTCCTAGTTGAACTCCCTGTCAAGGGGACAATTTACATATTAGCCTTTTATTATATAGGATCTGATCACTATTCAGCTCTGATAGCATCTCCTCTGTGAAGCTTCTCCCTCTTCACTCCTGATGCTTCTTTTACACACTTAGATGTGAACCCCACTGAGATGCAATGAGTTACTTCTAGGCTTGAAGCTTTTTGAGGACAAAGGCTTTGACTCACTCACTGGGTGGCTGCTAGCACATAAATGCCTCTGTGTGACTTAGAAAAAATGTGTCCCATTCTCTGGATGACACATTTCTGTGCAAATGCACATAGCTTGGTCAGTAGAACATGGCTGGATTTTAGCCCCTATCTGTCCTTTCCACTCAAGCTGTTTTGTGCAGTGCACAACCTGCAAAAGCAAATCTACTCAGTTATATCTGACTCCTTCACAGTGTTTGAAGGGTTGGATGCCCAAGGGAAAGAAGGTCATAAGCAGGGAGAGAGACAAATAAGAGGGCACCTTCTGAAGGTGGGGCGGAGGTTGGGCTTCACCTTCCTCAGGTACATTCTAGAGCAGCCGTGGGCAAACTATGGCCCGTGGGCCGGATCCGGCTCATTTGAAATTAATGAAACTAAAAAAAAAACAAAACAAAAAAACAAACAAACAAACAAACAAAACCGTACCCTTTTATGTAATGATGTTTACTTTGAATTTATATTAGTTCACACAAACACTCCATCCATGCTTTTGTTCCGGCCCTCCGGTCCAGTTTAAGAACCCATTGTGGCCCTTGAGTCAAAAAGTTTGCCCACCCCTGTTCTAGAGCCTAAAGTGAGACTGAAAGAAGTGTTTCTAGCTTCATGGAGAAGGAGCTGCAGAAGATGGAACAGATGACTGAAGTCCGAAGGAAGCCAAGTTTTGATAGGTGACAAAAGTTAGCAGGTGGAAGGGAACCAAGGAGAGGTCCCAGATCAGCAGTTACCCTAGGGGTTTCTCTTTGGAGCTGACCCAACATTTCCTGGTCACAGTGATAGTCCTGCCTGTCTCCAGGAGCCCAGATTGATCTTATTCCTGCTCTCCAGCAGATGGCAGCTATGCCCAAGACCTAGTGCTTGCAGAGAGCTGGACACCTACCTCCCCCCATGCTGGTGTGGGTGAGGCCAGATGACTAAAGCTGCCACTGCCCCTGGCAGGCCCAGAGAAAAGATTGATGGCACAGACATTGCTGGGGCTAGCCAACAAAGCCATTGATTTTCATTTAGGAGAATTAAATATTAATTTTCACTTTGTTAAACTAGGGAGGGTGAATAAAGTCAATTCCTGCAGTACCAGAGGAAGCCAGGCTATGTTGGAAGACTGCAGATGAAATAGTCGGAGGGGGCAGAAGTATTCAGTCACCAACCCCTCCAGAATCTTAGACTTCTGTTTGTCACCACATTGGCTCAGGTAACGGAATGAATTCTGGAGCCAGACTAGCTGGCCTTAATGCCCAGATCTTCCCATTAGAAGCTGCATGACCTTGGGCAAGTCACTTGTTTTCTACGTCCAATTTCTTCACCTGTAAAATGGGAGTGCCAATAACAAAACCTTATTCATAGAGGATTAATGACTTTGAACATGTAAAGTTCTGGAATCAATAAATATTGCCTTCTTTATTTCTTTTTTTCTCCCCCAGAAATTATCCCAGTAGTCTTATATCAGGTGCCCTCAGTTCATAGAGTCCTCTAGGTATCCCTTATTTTGTGGAGTCCTATGGCTCATTGAGGAGGGGTTTTATTCTCCCAAAGTCCATCTTAATTCTTTTCAGGGGCTTTCAATTGCTTTCAGGATAAAATCCAAACTCCTCAGCCTGGTATCCAAACTTTCCTCTTCAACCACTGCCCTCTGTGGATCTTCTCTGTGGCCAGGCCCATGCTCCCATGGGCCCTCCTCCATGCTTCCAACCTCATTTTACACCCAGCCTGTTCCTTTTGTCTCTGCACCTTTACCATGCTGTTTCCTACATGAAATGTTACAGTTTGCCTCAGTGATAATTCTAATTTGAGCAGAGGAAGTCATTTATTCCTATGGTTGGATGAATGACTTCTACTACTCCTACTACTAATGCTGCCATTTTACTACTACTACCACTAGCTAACTATTGACTGCTTACTGTCTACCAAGTACTGTGTTAACTTAGTTTATTTAGTTATTACAACAGCCCTATGAGTTCAGTTTTACAGAGAGGAAGGTTAGGCTTAGAGAGATAAAGACTTGCTCCATGTCACAGAATTAGTGAGTGGTGGGGCCCAGATTCACACCCAGGTCTGTCTAACTCCAGAGCCTGCATACAGAAGATTGGTGAGGGTTGGCGTTACTTGACACTGAATCTTCAAAAGTGAGGCTCAAGTTGCTTCAATCACTAAGATTCTAGGATCTAACACCCCATTAACAGCTTGATCAGCTCTAGGCAAAACTTGTCCCATTTCATGGCATATGCAATTCAAAGGGATGACTTCTTTATACTGAACTGAAATTATTGTGTCTGTTCTTTATACCCACTGATCCTAATCCTGGACCCTGGAGCCATATAAAAAACAAATCCCTCTTTAGAATCTGAAAATGGTTATCCCCACCCCTAATATTAATGTTTACCAAGATCCTACTCTGTGACAGGCTCTTGCTAAACTCCAGTTAATCCTCATGAGAACCTAGTGAACTAAGTGTTAGTGTAGCCCACTCCTTATACATGAGGAAATTGAAGTTCAAGAAGCTATGTAATGTATTCAGAGACATCAAACTGGTAAATGGCAGAGCTGGGATTCAAATCCAGGTCTTTGAGTCTAGAAAACTATAGTACTCTTAATTATTATGTTATGATTCCTCCCTAATAAAGCTCCCCGACTAAACCCTATCTTCTCAGATAAATATCTCCAATTTCTTCAAACTATCATTCCATATATTAGTATATTTTATTTCCTATCATGGTCTCTTTATGGTAGGCTAATGACCCTCTTAAATCTGAAGCCTAGAACTGGATATAGTCCCAGGTTTGACCTGACTAGGGGCATTTCAATAGTGCTTTTGTTCTAGACACATCACTCCTTGGACAAGAGAAAATGAGGATGGGTACTATGACTACTGGATCTTGGTGAACCTATGCTAGTTCCTAAAAATCACCACTTTCTTCCTGCCACATGGTCAATAGATCCCACTTTGCCTTTTGGCCAGTGATTAGCCATTAGCCAAGGCCATGATAGGTGCCACTGATATATAATGGCCCAGTTACCTTGTAGAATCATGTCTCTCTTAACTTTAGCCAAATGTTTAAGGTATAGAGGGAAGGCAATCTTGGTGAGTCAAGGTATCCCAAAAAAATTACAGGAAGAGGACCAGAGGGACCTGCCATCAAGAATCCTAATACTGGAGAACATGGAATATCATCCTAGCAGAGCCTCTAAACCAGCGGTTCTCACCCTGTGGGTTGTGACCCCTCTGGCAGTCGAACGACCCTTTCACAGGGATCGCCTAAGACCATCCTGCATATCAGATATTTACATGATGAGTCATAACAGCAGCAACATTACAGTTACGAAGTAACAACGAAAATAATTTTATGGTTGGGTCACAACATGAGGAACTGTATTTAAAGGGCCAGAAGGTTGAGAACCACTGCTTATGTATCTGCATCCATGTTCACACCAGTGACAAATGTCACTAGAAGCCATGATTTCAGCCAAGGTGAACAAATTGTATGGCTCACAACACTGATGCCTCTCCTAAAAGATGGAGTGGGACACTTGAGGCAAGGGTCTTGAGCTCATTTCTTTGATCCAGAAGACTGAATATAAAAAAGAACCTGTAGCTGTTCAGGGCACACGGAAGCCCTCTTCTACAAAGATGCTGCTGCTGCTAGTTTCTGGTTCCAATCCAGCTCCTACATGCTGCTTTGGCATGCATGCAGGGCATGTCCCAAGTCTGAGGTGACTCCCATCCCCACCCCCCAAGTGCCGGTGGACTTACCCCTGGCAGGGTCTTCTGCTCGTGCAGTGCACTCTGAGCCTTGAGAGCAGAGTCCCGGGCGCAGTAGGTGAGGAAGGCACAGCCTGGGGAGGAAGAGGCTGGCTCAGGGGGTTTCCTGAAACCCACAAATACTCTTCCTATAAAGATCCCATTAAATTGACAAACTCAAGGTCACTTTCCTTTAACCAAAGACACTGCTTCTTCTCTGCCTCCTACCTTCTCTGAAGGGAGGGGCTTCATGTGCCTCTGACTCTTTCTCATTTTCTCTTGGCCTAGGGAACATGTGTACTCACACCCAGTCACATGCTTATACAACCCCACATCTCTCCTCACCACTCCAGCCATAATCGTGCTGGGGTTAAACCTCACTAGGCCACTTTGCCTTCAGCTTTAACCCCAGCCTTCCTTTTCCTTTTTGGAATCATACTGTCTCCCAACTCATTTTCAATGAGAGGAGGCAGAAGAGGAGGAGGAGGGTTGGGATCCAAGCCCAGAACCCCACAACTTCTTAAAACTTCCTTCCTCCTAGTTTGAAGCCGAGGAATGGGTTAATTTGAGGCTTGGAAGATGAGGCTGGTTTAAGGGCTTCCTGTAAGTAAAAACTTCCGGTGCTCTCCCATCCTATCCAAGGAGCTTGATCTTGTTCTCCCAAGTCTTCAAGATAGGGCCTCTTAAAGGGTTATTGTGCCTAAATCTGACTTCTTTAAAACAGCCAGTAGAAATAGGGCAGAGGAGGAGTCTGAATTGAACCAAAGGGTCAGTCCTACCCCTCTTTGTTCAGCCTCAGAACCTTAGCCTGCTAGGAAGCATTGGGTCAGGGATCTCTTCCTTTCCAACAGGCATTGAGCACTCACTCACTTATTTTGATGGGGCATTACAATGGACTTGGGGATAAAGTGGCAACAAGACAGACACATTCTCCACCCTCATGGGAATAATGTAAAGGATCATGAGGATCATGCATCTGAGTCCAAAGAATTGAGAAGTATCTCAGAGTACATTGAGTTCTCAACAATAAATAGAGTTTAACCAGATGACAAGAAGGGTGGTGATTATTTCAGACAGAGGAAATAGCACATATAAAAACTCAGTCAAGAATCCAGTGTGTTGGGGAAATGGATGGAAGGCTAGTATGGTTGAAGATTGGTAATGGGGGCAGAGTGGTCAGTTAGGTATTCAGGGATCAGGTCATCTATAATCTTGTCTGGATTTTGAACTTTTTTCCCTAGGAGCAGTGGAGAGCTACTAAAGGGTTTTAAGCAGTGTTGTGACATATGTTTCTAAAGAGAGTCTTTGAGTGTAGGAAGGAGGAAGACTGAAGGAAGAGAAAGTAGATGTAGGAAGGAGCTTGGTGCAATTTTCGACTTAGATCTCAGCAGACTAGAAAGGCAAATGGAAACATTTTCTCCTATGTCTTCTATTTGGGTGGCCCCTTAAGGTGGGTGGATATCTGCCATTTGTTGCATGAAAGGAACCTTAGAGAACTCCTGGGACAAACACTTACTGTATCAATAGGGAAACTGAAGCCAGAGTGTGTGTCAGTGGCAGGATTGGATTTGGAGTCTCTTAACTCCTAGGCTAAGGTTGTTTTCAAAGCACTGTGGCTGCCTCCCTCTGTACCCAGCCACCAAAAGGAAAATGAGTCACTCTGGTTTTGGATGTCACTACTGCTGGGGAGAGGGTGGGGGAAGATGCTACTTGGAGACCCTCCCTGATCATCTTGCAAGGCAACCCTGCCTTGGAGAGTTGCAGGTTGGTTGGGAGCTAAATCACCAAACACCTGATTCTGCTTACATCTCTGCTCCATCTTCTGTCAACACACCATATCAGCTGACATTGGAACTGGGCAGGGCTGGGGCCCTGTCTGAAAGGTTCAGGGGCCCAGTTGTGGCCTAAGGGAGCCTATATGGACTACTGGGATGGGGATGGGAGAATGAGGGATGGAAAGACAGGAAAGCATGTAAAGACAGATGAATGAAAAACAGGAAGAATTAGAGCTAAATAGAGAAAGGAGGAGGGAGGAAAAATGGAAGGGAGGGAGAGAGAGGATAAGGAAATAGTCAGAGACTCTGATGGTGAAAAGAGTGAGAATTAAAGGTATTCCATAACTGCCCTTATTGTAAAGATGGCCTTAAAAGATTAGCTTGAACTTACATACTGAAATAAGTGTCTAGAAAATAAGAAAATAAATTGCTATGGATATGGACAGCCAGGCAGCTGGACTGAATTAGAAGGAGTCTGGGTGGTATAGTCTTGTCCTTTTGTGCCCCATTTAATATAACCTCAGCCCAAAAGGTAGAAGATACACTGCTACCTAGCTGGTCCTAGAGCTTCTATGGGCATTTATTTTACTGAAGTCCCTATATTAGTGTGCCTAGAAACCCCCCAAGGTGTCCCAGTGGAAAAGAGGTGGCAGCCTGATTACAGCTCTCAGCCCTTAGGAAAGTACATTTAGCTGTTACCCAGGGCCCACAACTTCTTTTCTAAAAAGATCATGGAGGATAGTAGGTAAAACTGCCTTCCTCACCAAATCCTGAAACCACAATATGGTGAAGGTAAGGAGAGATAAAGGTGTTTCTCCTCATATCATTTCCTTCCCCCACCCATGTATGACATGTGACTCTGACTCTCTTACTCCAGCTAGCTTGGACAGACTTGTCTGCATGTAAACAGCCTCCTCCCTCTCTCTACAGAAGAAAGGGGTGTGGCTGCACAAGACTATGTTATCTCTGTCTCTCTAGCAAGGGCAGGGAAAAGACCCTTTCTGCCTCTTCAACCTGACCCACCCTAAGGTTTTGGTCCACAGGCTCTGGTCCAGGACTAGACTGTAAGGGAGGGAAAGCAGAACGCTATAGGAGGATTGTGGAGGGACAAAGATGAGGCATAGAATTGGGGAGATTAGAACATGAAAGTAGTGTGGGTTCCGTTGAGAGAAAACCTGAGATGAGGGAGCACGAGTTCCAAACTGAGGTTAGGGTTCTGGACTCAAATCAGAAGAACACTATGTTGTGATTCTGGCAGGGGTTGGAGAGATTTACTATTAAACATGAGGGTGGAATTTGGAGCTAGGAGGGGGTTTGGATTTTGTGAGTTAACTAGGCCTGGGTTCTGAAGAAGGGTCGAGTTTGGACCTGTGGCATTTCAGGTTGGCAGTCTAAGGTCAAAAGAAGGCTCTGGAGGTTGGCTGGGCTTGGAGGCCAGAATGAGTGGTGCAAGTCCAAGATATGTGTGTGGATGGTTAGGTCTGAGTAGGGTGGCACCAGATGCGGATATTCAGGAATGATTTGGTCCAGCATTTGGGAGATTGAGGGTATTAGAGACCAAGAAGGTGGAATAAGTTTCCAAATTCCAGGATTTGGGATGTCTGATGAGAGGGGTGGAGGGAGGTCCAACTGAAGGGCGGGGACTGTTGGGGTGTAGGAAGTTGGAGGTTAGAGTGCAGAACATGTCAGGGAACCAGAGTGATGATCAGAGGGAGCATGTTAGAGAAAATTCTGGGTTCGGGGCTCTGTGAACTGGGGAGGATAGTGGGTTGAAGTGAAGCTGGTGTTAGACTAGTGTAGGACTGGATCTAGGTAGGGCTACGGTTGGGGCTGTGGTTGAGGCTGGAGTTCGGGCTGGGCCGAACTCTAATCGGATTGGGGCTGGGCAGGGCTGGACAGGGCAGGGTTGGGTAGGGCTGGGGAGGGCTGGGGAGGGCTGGGCTGGGCTGACCCCGCGCACCTTTATGGAGGCCGGTGAGCCGGTCCTTCAGCACCGTCAGCTCGTAGATGCGGCCGAACTCCTCAAACAGCGGCTTGAGGTCCTGCTCATCCAAGCCCCGCGGGATCTGCCCCACGAAGAGCTTGATGGCGTCGTGGTCCTTCATGGGCACGGAAGGACCTGGGTTTAGCCCGCTCAAGCCGACGCCGCTGTCCGCGGTGCTGAAACCCAAGCGCGGGACGGGGCCGGTGGGCGGCGCTGACCCTCCGGGCGCCGCGGCCATCTCCCTGACCAGTCCTCCCTCCCTCCGGTCCCGCCGGTCCCGCCGGTCCCGCCGTCCCCTCCCAGGACCGGAGGCGAGGGCCAGGAGGGAGAGGGCGGGGCCAGGGCTGCAAGGGCCGGGACGCTGCCCAGGGGGCGGGGTCCCTGGTGGAGGGGCGTAAAGAGGGTGGGGCGGACTAAAGGGGGCGGGGCCGTGGGCGGGGCAGGCCCACAATGAGCCGGCGGGATGCGGGGTCTGGCTTGAGGTCCGGGTCCGGAGCTCTCTGGGCTCCCGCCCGAGCTTTCCCGGAGCCGAGCCCTGGGCTCCACACTCGTGATTGGTGACGTCAGGCAGCGGTCCTTGGAGTCTACGCAAATAATTTGCATAATAAGGCAGCAGCGACCAATCAGAGCAGGAGTTGACGAGGCTCTGCTGGGGGCGAAGGGGCTGCTGGACTCACGCGCTCCTGCTCGCCATGGCAACCAGACCTTCAGATTCCCTGTGAGTGTGAGCGGGCGTGGCCGTGAATCGCGCGTGTGCGCTTTGGGTCGCATGAGGGGGAAGTAGCTTCGTCATGCGTGGTGATGTTTGTGGGAGTCGTAGTTACCCCCTTCCTCACACGCTGGCACACACGGGCACACTACCTGAGATGGTTATTACTCTTCTGCATTCCCACTGCCAAGGCCAATTCCTTGGAGTCATCCTACTCCACCCCATCACACCTCTCTTTGGTGTCTACAACCATTTCCTTACCCACGAGCGTCAAACACGTTTGTCTTCCCTGCATCTCTCCCCTACCCCCCCCCCCTTTTTTTAATTTTAAAGAAAAAAGTTGAATAAAGCAAAAACACTCTTTGAACACCGATTTCTCCTCAGGAGAGTGAGGGAACTTATATTAGCCATATGATCAGATACCTGGTTCATTCCAAATTTGTGAACTAAAGAGTGCTATCTACCTTTTCTCGACAAGAAAGCTGAGCGTCTGAGAGTGAAGGAGATTTAGATCAGGCTCACCCCTAACATCTGCTGAACCCAGGGCAAGAGAAGAAATGGAAACAGACAAATAAATTGTGTTTACATGTTTAAAAGTTGTCACCCTGCCTGGGTGGCTCAGTTGGTTGAAGAGTACACCAAGATACCCAAGCTGGTTTGGTTCAGTGGATAGAGCCTCGGCCTGCTGATTGAAAGGTCCGGGGTTCCATTCTGGTCAAGGGCACATACCTAGGTTGCAGGCTCCTCCCCGCCTGGACTCTGGCGGGGAGGGGGGGGGGGTTCGTGCAGGAGACAACCAATCGATATGTCTCTCTCACCCCTCCCACTCTCTCTAAAAAAAGAAAAAAATCAATGGAAAAATATCCTCGGGGTGAGGATTAAAAAAAAAAGTACACCAAGATGTTTCTCTCTCTCTCTCTCTCTCTCTCTCTCTCTCTCTCTCTCTCTCTCCTCTTAAATCAATAAACATATCCTAAGGTGAGGATTTTAAAAAGTCAAGTTAAAATGTTTGTCTCCCATTTTTACAAATACGCATTCATAATAAAAATGAAAAAATATATAAAGCTGTTTCTTATATGACAAAGTTGGCAAAATATTCGAGCTGATGGAATATTATTACTCTTGCTCATGTCTGAGAATTCTCTTGATGGGCCAGTGATGTTTGGGCAGAGGAGTAATACGATAAAGATAAATAATTTATATATTACATAAATTTATTTTAGAAAATGTTTTCTTGCCTTTCTTTTCAAGTAAAATTTCTAACCTGTGTCCACTGATTATTTTAAGAAACTTCTCAAGAGCAGCAGTAGGATTGGAATCAACAAAATATTATCACAGCAAAATTCAAACTCGGAAATAAATTGTGATTTCAAAAATATGTTTTTATTGATTTCAGAAAGGAAGGGATAGAGAGAGAGAGATGAAAACATCAATGATGAATGAGAATCATTGATCGGCTTCACACACCCCACACTGGGGATCAAACCTGCAACGGGGATATGTGCCCTGACCAGGAATCAACCGTTCATAGGTTGATGCTCAACCACTGACTCACACCGGCCAGGCTAAATTGTGATTTTTTAAAAAAGTTATTTTAAACTTGTAATAAAAGTTAGTTCTTAATTAACTTTCATTGAGTTCATCATGTTTTGAAATTTCCTTTGACCCAGAGATTATTTATAAATGTATTTGTAGTTTTCAAACATTTAGATTTTCCTGTTATCTTTCTGTTATTGATTTCCAGTTTGAGCCCATTATGGTCAGAGAACATACTCTGTATGATTTCAATTATTTTAAGTTTGTTGAGGTTTTACGACCTTCGGAATATGATCTATCTTGGTTAATGTTTTGTTGTTACTTGAAAAGAATGTATATTCTGTTGTTGAGAGGAGTGTTCTTACCAGTAAATGCTAATTAGATCTGTTGGTTGATGGTGTTGTTGAGGTTTATATTCTTGCTGACTTTATGTCTAGTTGTTTTGTTAACTGTTGAGAGAAGGATTTTGAAGTCTATAATTGTGAATTTATAATTGTGAATTTATCTATTTCTCTTTTCAATTATATTAGTTTTTGCTTTATATATTTTTCAACTGTTGGTTAGTGCATACACATTTAGGATTGCTATGTCTTCTTTTATCTTCTATAATAATAAAAGCATAAGATACTAATGAGGCCAGACAGCTGAACGACCTTCCAAACATCATTCCGAACATCCTTCCAGATGAAGCCACCCTGGTGGGGGCCGAGGCAGAGGCAGTTAGGGGCGATCAGGCAGGCAGGCAGAGTGGTTAGGGGTGACCAGGCAGGCAGGCAGGCAGGCAGGCGAGTGGTTAGGAGCCAGCAGTCCCAAATTGCAAGAGGGATCCTGGATTGTGAGAGGGTGTAGGCCAGGCTGAGGTACCCGCCCCTTGTGCATGAATTTCGTGCACTGGGCTTCTAGTTATACTATAATATTACTCTGAATTTGGGATCAATTTCTTGCTCTGAGATCTATTTTATCTGATAACTAATCCTGACTTCTTTTGGTTAATGTTTGCATAGTATATTTTTTTTATCCTTTCATTTCCAACTTACTTATACTGTTATATTTGAAATGAGTTTCTTGTAGACAGCATATAATGGGTCATTTTTAAAAATATGGTTTTATTGATTTTTAGAGAGTAAGGAATGGACTGAGAGAGGTAGAAACACAGATGAGAGAGAAACATCATTGATCAGCTACCTCCTAAATGCCTCCTACTGGGGATTGAGCCTACAACCCAGGCATGTGCCCTGACAGGAAACCAAACCAGTGACCTCTTGGTTCATGGGTCAATGCTCAACCACTGAGCCACACTGGCTGGGTGATGGGTGATTAAAAAGATCAGGGCACCAATTTGTGCCTTTTAATCATTGTATTTAGGCCATTTACACTTAATATAATTATCAACATGTTAGGGCTTGAATCTGACACTTTTTTGTTTTCTTTTTCTTCCCTCTGTTCATTTTCCTGTTTTATTTTTTCTGCCTTCCTATGGGTTACTTGTTTCTTATAATCCTACTAGAGGCCCGGTGCATGAAATTTGTACATGGGTGGGGGGTGTCCCTCAGCCCATCCTGCGCCCTCTCACAATCTGGGACCCCTTAGGTAGGGTCCCTAGGCCTGGCTGGTGATCAAGGCCTATCGGGGTTTTCCTTCCCCTGGCTTCCAGCAGCTGGCCCCACCCCCACCTCTACCACTGCTTGCCATCTGTGCGGTGCTGTCCCCCGCCCCCCCTGCCACCAGTCACCTCCCTCTGCAGGCGACAGGCATGGGGTGTGATTGCTTGGTTGGCCTGGGCTTCCCTCTGTGGGGCAATCAATTGTGGGGCCCCAGATTGATCGCCTTGCAGAGGGAGGCCCCACCCACTCACTGCAGTGCTGCCAGCCAGGTGGCCTGGACCTCCCTCTGTGGCCGCTGGCCGGGTAGCCTGGGTCTCCCTCTTTGGGGCAATAGATTGTGGGAACCTCCCTCCCATCTATCACCCTGCAGAGGGTGTGATTGTGGGGCGATGGCCGGGCCCCCCAACCAATTGCATCGCACCCACCTTGGCTGGCCTGGCGCCAGTGTATGTCATAGCATGGTTGTCCGGAAGGTCATCTGGACGGTTGTTCTGCTGTTCGGTCGATTCGCATAATACGCTTTTATTATTATAGATATAATAAAAGGCTAATATGAAAATTGTCCATACTGGCAGGATTTCGACCAACCAGGAGTTGGATGTATGCTGACCACCAGGGGCCAGTGTGGAACATGGTGGATGTCGTGATGCGGTGCTGGCAGTGGGCAGCAGTGGAGGTGCTGCTGGCTCTGATGGGCCCTGGTGAGAGAGGGACTGCGATGGGATGGTGGAGCAGGTGAGCGGACGGCACCAGGCCAAGGCAGGTGTGAAGGGAGGCCCCAGCTGGCAGCCACTAGGGATCCTACCCATGCACGAATTTTGTGCACTGGGCCTCTAGTAGGTACATAAAACATACATATCTTATCATAGTTTACTGGTGTTGATATTTTACCAGTTGAAGTAAAGTATATAAAAGTTACCTAGCTTTAATTTCCTTAATCGTCCCTCATTTATAATATAACTAGAGGCCTGGTGCATGAAATTCGTGCATGGGGGGGTGTCCCCTCAGCCCAGCCTGCACCCTCTCCAATCCGGGACCCCCTGGAATCAGGCCTAAACCAGCAGTTGGACATCCCTCTCACAATCCTGGACCACTGGCTCCTAATCGCTCACCTGCCTGGTCGCCCCTAACTGCCGCCCGCTGCGGGCCAGGTCACCCCTAACTGCCTCCTCCCTGCCAGCCTGGTTGTTCCCAACTGCACCCCCCACCAGCCTAGTCGCCCCTCACTGCCCCCCTCCCCGCCGGCCTGGTCACCCCTCACTGATCCCCTGCCAGCCTGGTCACCCCCAGCTGCACCCCCCCCGCCACTGTCCTGGTTGCCCCTAACAGTCCCCCCCCACCACCACCACCAGCCTGGTAGCCTCTAACTGCTCCCCCAGCCAGCCTGGTTGCCCCAACTGCCCCCCCTGCCAGCCTGGTCACCCCACACAGTCTGCTGTTCAGTCGTTTGGTCATCCCTCACTAACCCCCCC